TGAAGATGTCTGGACCTCAACTCCCAGAATTCCCCAGCCAGCATTCGCTGGCTGGGGAATTCTGGGAGTTGAAGTCCAGACATCTTCAAGTTGCCAAGGTTGAGAAACACTGAACTAGAAGAATGCCTTACAATATGGGCAGTCTGAAGAATCAGTATCCAAACTTACCTAAACCATTTAGCCATATTTCTACAGTCTTATGGGCAAAAGTGCAGGAGTGAATTGCCATTGCTTTCTTCCAAGTGTTAGTTTGGAATTTCTTCTCTTGAGTAGAGAATTCCTCCTCTGCCCACACAACACTTTGTGGATGAACCTTAGTTTCACTCATCCATTAGCAGTTTTTGCTTGCTAAAACTGATAGAAAACCCTAAACACCGAGACCCTTACGTCAACCCCTTTCAGAACTAAGTAGAGACACAGACAGACATTTCACGAAAATGTGCTAGCTCCAGATACATGTGAGCATCCTCCCTCAAAGCCTGGAAGAGGGAAATTATCCTTCTTCCTGTACAACTTCCTACCTGCATTTGGAAGTGATAACATGAAATCCCTATATAGGTAGTCCTTGACTTACAACCATTTGTTTAGTGACTGTAATAATGGCACTGAAAAAAGTGACTTATTATCATTTTTCACACAGTATGAAAGTTAAGTATGAAAAATGATCACAAGTCACTTTTTTCAGTGTCATCGTAAGTTTGAACAGTCACTAAATGAACTATGGTAAGTCAAGGACCACCTGTACCTTAGTTCTCAAGCACCCATATTTGTGCCAAGAACAATGCAAACACAATACTTGATAGTTGAATACCATATAACCTAAAAGAAGAATACACAAAGCCTTTATGCAGCAAAGCTGGCACGGTTGCCTCCTCACAACCCCTTGACTCAGCATACTAGGGGGTAGGTAGAAGACAAGTTCTGTGCAACCTTCCTTTGTAGAAGAGGACTTTGGTCTGGCCCAGTCAATGAGTGATGGGCTCAAGTGGGATGGATTAATTAATGATTGTGATATGTTGTTGGTAGGGAAGCATTGCATCTAGTTCTCTTGGCCAGACTCTTTCTGCTAGTTTATAAAGTGCTTCAAGTGCCACCCCATGCTATTGTCTTGAAACCTCTACAGAAATAAATCTCTATTAATAATTATTCTTGTGATGCTCTCAGCAATTCGAGGAATCTCACGTGTATGTCGATCATGGAACATAAAACTTTGATTCACAGTTATATGGTGGGTAGTGCATTTAAAATCATTGTTCCAAACCTCTATATGGGATAAGCCTGAATATTTCTAAGCACTACTGAACTTCTCTGGAGATTGAATCAATATTTGTCAAAATAATAAAAGCAGCGCTGCACTCCTTTTCGTTGTACATCAGACTCACAATGTGTGGAGCAAAGAGGTGGGGCTTCCACTGAGAAAGTGTGACATGACTTTCTGGTTTGAAACCCCCCCTCCCCCTCCCATGCCACTGGAGCCAGTCTTTCCCATTAGCGGTAATACAGATCAGCTATGTCTACAATAATTTAGGTAGGAAAATATATGTTTATGTAGCCATGGGGTGGATCGCATCCATTGAATATGTACAAAAGTGCTTTTTTCTCTGGGTTCAAATATCACATTAAGCCACACCTGATTTTGAACAAGGTTTGTTGAATAAAGCATAATGATTCAATTCACACATTCTGTCTTTATGCCTACATATTTACCAGCTGCTTCTTCCTGAAATTTTTGGCTTATTTCTAAATTTGCACAAGGCCGTTTATTTCACACTCAGTGAGCGTATCTTTTCAAGATGGTTTTTGTATTTTATTTTTCAGATGCTGCTCATTCCTGCAAAGAAAGCTGTGAATTAAATAGGCATGTGTCTGGTTAGGTAACTGCATCTGAGAACAAATCAAAGCCTAAAATTGTCTCCAAAATCTAAAGAATAATCCAATTATGGAATAATGAAGCATATGTGATGTAAACCAGATAAAGAACAGGATATGTCCAAAATCATACAAACAAATAGCATAAGCCATAGAATAATGTAATAAAAATGAGTTTTAACATGGTATGTGCAAGTGCACATGCATATTGAATGCTATTTTATTTCGTGTGTTTTAGCTGTATTTTTAGCCACTCCTCACCAAGTCAAGGCTGCTAAATCTATTTTTTAAAAATAGATTTTCCCCCTTACCAGAGGGACCCCCCCCTTGTGGAGTACTGTGAAGCCGTTATCATGGCAACTCCACTGTTCTGCACAATAGAAGCCATTTTATGGCAGTACAGTAGAAGCCATTTTAAGGCACAACAGACTGCATCTTAACAGAACACATACCCCGAGAGGTGTTAGTGGTGTCTTGCCCCCACAGTATTTTTTTCTAGAGAGTAAGTAATCTGTGTACCAAGTTTGGTTGAAATTGCTCCAGTCATTCCAGAGTTATGCTGGAATATACATACATACATAAGATAGATAGATGGATGGGTGGATGGATAGGTAAAGAAGAAGACGAAGACGAAGACGAAGACGAAGACGAAGAAGAAGAAGAAGAAGAAGAAGAAGAAGAAGAAGAAGAAGAAGAAGAAGAAGATTATTTAGCTGAAGCTTTTAGCACAATTTGAAACTAATCTCCTTTTAGAAATATTTTCATGTATACAAAGATATGGGATGTGTATTTTGTGGCAAAAGAGATTATTTGAAAACATAACAGTATATATACAATATGACTACACAGAATATATGGCTGTGAGCTTTAGCAATCAGTTGTCGGTTTTAGAGTTTCAGTAGTGGATGGAAAATCTGTGTCAGAGTAAAGATTGAGGATAATGGTCAATTAAAGAGAGGCGTTTTCAAAGACCAGACTTGATGGAAGTTTGGGCAATTTAATGCTTTCAGAGCCACCACTGAAGAATTACATTACAGCTAAGTAATGGGAGGGTGAGGCGTCCTGTGCACAAAAGCCTGTTTGTTTCTATGTATGCCTTTGCTTCTGATTTTTACTTTAAGATCATTTGTTAAAAAAATAAACAGCACTTTCATTCCCCCCCCCCTTTTTAAAGATGGCTATCAGATATTAACTACAAAAATCTGGACATTTGTATTACAGTTTTCTGTGCCCTTCTTTCTGTGCCTATTTAATGCTCAGGATTTTTGCATTTCCCAGTGTTGGCTTCAACTGTATATCTGAATCTTCTAAAACCTACTGGACTAAGCCAGAGAAAGGAAACCCTCTAGAAAACACATTTGGGGTTTATATTAAAATTTAGTTAACCTAAACAAGATCATTAGCTGATTTTTACGAGGCAATATTTTCTGCAGAATTCCCTCACATTAAATCCATGGGAATTTGCTTCTAAAGCAAATAAAATTGATTATATATTCTACCTGCACACCTGTAAAATAATGGGTACCCACCTTGATGGGTTCCATCTCCATAAACAAACCATTCTGTTTTTAGTACACAAGAGTGGAGATAGTGATAAGGATTAAAACTACCAAAGCCCCCACTGAATCAGATCAAGAATCAAAGTTTGTTTTCCCCAACTGGTCCTGTGCATCAGTCCTAGTCAGCATGGCCATATCGTGACTGGATAATCTAGAAGTAATGATTGCTATTCATCAGGAGGGCACTGGGTTGGTTCCCTGCAGGGACCAAAAAGCCGATCCCCCAAACCTTCTTCTTAACACTGGAAGGCCAACACCTTCCCCTATGCTTGATATTCATATCTAGACTGCCTCTGAATGTGGATATTCTGTTTGCTTTGCAAGCCCTGAGCTTGTTTAGCATTCTTTAAATAAACTTTACTGAAGTCACTCTCTATACCATGTTTTTCAGCAGGGAATTTCATAGCTGTGAACTCTTTGAAGCACTTTCTTTTGCCTTTCCTAAGTCAAAGGAAGGAAGAAAAGGGTAGGCACAATGCATACAAAATAATGGCAACATCTACTCCTAGTTACTCAGTAAATAATTATACATTCTCGTTCTTGTATGGAACAGGGAAAAATATCCCACTGTTAATTTTAAAATAAAGTCACGCATCTCTAATATGCCTGTCATTGTTGTTTTGTTTCCCAATATTAAGTGGCACCAAATACTTACATCTTCCTTGATAAGAAAATTATTTTTCATCATTCTAGTTAACGTTCTTTGTGTTCTTCATAGTTCTGCCATATATATATTTCCAGGTACCATAAACTGGTCAGAAAGGAATGCACTTCTCCAAATGTGACCACACCATCCATCCTATACATAGCATTATAATTAATATAATCTGCCATAATTTACTTTATAGGCCTACACAGGGCAACAGAATAGAATGTGCATTCTCACCTAGTGGACATGACTGGCAGATAGGTGCTTTCTGGGCCAGTCAAGTTACTCCTATGCACTAGCAATGCATAGTTGAAGATGTTTGGCCATGCAGAAGCCCTTTCTGAACTTTTCTTGGGTGCTGCAAAGGAAGCTGAGAGATGGTTAAGCGTGGGGAAGCATGTTATATATGGAAGGACTGCTTATGAGCCCCACAAAGGTCTTCTAGGGGCTGTGGTGGCGTAGTGATTAGAATGCAGTAGACTAACTTTGCATTCCACTGCCAGGAGTTCAATCCTGACCAGCTCAAGACTGAGACTCAGCCTTCCATCCTTCCGAGGTTGGTAAAATGAGGACTCAGATTGTTGGGGACAATATGCTGACTCTGCAAACTGCTTAGAGAGGCTGTAAAGGACTGTGAAGTGGTATATAAGTCTAAGTGCTACTGCTGTTGCTAGGTCCTTTAGACTAGAGTATACTTGGAAGTACTACTTTACTTCTGGTAAATTGAAGTTTTATCACTGGTCATACCGTCTACACCACAATTTTGTGAATTCACCACAGATGCTATCAGACCATTTCAAATGAACTAGTGGCCAAGAAAGGGTCTCTGCCACTGCTTTATTTTACTGAAAATTAATTGGAAACATTTTGTTAGATCTCCGAAGCCCACTTTGGAGCAGGTTCTTTGAGAAGCAAAAACTAAACTCATTTCTGAGGCTTAAGCACTCCCATATTTAGAAAGGTAGCTTGAAGGTCCTGCAACCAGAACTAGATTGATATCCTGGGCAGTTTGGATTCGGCTTGTATTGTACCAATATGGCAAGAGTTCATTTGAGTCAATAACTCTGAATGATGTAGAAGTTAGCAATTACCTAAAGGAATTTCTGAGAAGGGAGGGGGGACTGTACAGTTGATGTAAGAAGTGCACACAACTTTTTAGACTTTGCTCCTGTCTGGTGTATAAAGGACATGGTGTTTCTCCACTTATTTTATCTGCAAGGGGACTGTGGACCTAACATGTAACCTTGTGATGTTTTCCCTGAGTATCTCACCTACAGCAGGTAAGATAATACAAAGGAACAAGAGCCGAAGTAGCACCAACAGACATGGATTGGGTGTCTGAATCCAGGCCATTCCAAGGCAGGTTCTTATCTCTTAAGTCAGGGTAAAATCAACCCAGGGTAAAAAAAAAAAACCTGTATCAAGACAGGCGTAGATCCAGCCCAGCTAAATATTTTTGACCTTTTGGATAACATAACATCTGTCTAATCTCTCTTCCAAAGAATGAAGACTCTCCCCTGCAGTTTAGATATGGCCTCAATGGCAATAAAAATATAGGTACCAGTAGAAGCAATAGATATTGTATTTATCTATCTGCAATAATAATCCATTATCCTGGATAAATGATTAAGATATATGGCTCTTTGGCTGCTGAACATAGGGGAAGCATCTGGAATTTCCTTGAAACCAAGACGTCATCACATTTATCATTGGCGATCTCTGTTTCATCTGGCAGGCTATGATGCTACCTTATGGGAGAGAAAATCCAATGCAATGCTGTCAATCCACAGGAAGAGTCTTGCAGGCATCACCCTTTCCTGTTGGCCATAACCTCCAAGGTACTCAACTCAAGTCTTGCTCAGCCTCTGAGCACTGTAATTGAAGTTCTGTCCTTTCTATTCTTTCCTTCACTTCACTTTCTTCATGCTTTTCTGTGTATTCTTGGACCAGCGTCTAATCAATGTAACTCCCATGGGTATTTGGTTATCCTTTTTTATCCTTAAAAAAGTGGTCATAGGAGGTGCTTTCTCTATAGATAGAAGATCCTATTTACAGACACCTGCAGAGGTTCTTAGGGTCTTACGACTAGGTTCATAACCCATTTTTGCACACAGCTAAAGCTACATGCTTCAGAGGTACAGATACTGCAAAAGTTCCACCAAGAACTGATACCGGCTCTTCATGGGATGGCACAGTAGGCTTTTCTGCCTCTTATTTTTTGAAGAGTGTCCTAGATGATCTCACAAGCGATACAGGGAGCAGACGATCCCATTATTTGTGAGACGCAGTTTCTTTAATAAACATTTCTTTCTCCATAGATTTACAGATGAACCAGAATCCTAGAGAATATTTGTTCCCCACTGTCAGTTCTAACCTTGAGCACTTTCCCCCTGGCTCCTCAGGGAGGCTGGCAGAAAGCATGGAGAGCCATGAAATCAACATTCATTTTTCCAAGATGGGGAACCCACACTCATGTTGGGATGAAGCAGAGAAACCAGGTAAGGGAAATGAAGCTAAGGATATAGCTGTAAACAGGCAAGTGTACCAGATGTCTCATTTCTTTGTAACATCATGTTACTTTCAAGTCAGGTTTGGCTCTGGTGACATGTATATGCAGAACTATTGGCAACATTATAGAGATGTCTTTTCATTTCTTTCTTCTGGCATTACTTTTTACTTTCCAGTGTCTCTGCAAGCTAAGTATTTCCTGGTGATATTAGCTAGGACCAGCCCTACTTAGGCTTTCAAAATCAGCCGAAATGACCTACGTCAGAGGTGTCAAACTGGCAGCTCGCATGCCGGATACGTCACATGCAGGCCACGGCCAACCCAGCTCTGGGAATGGGAAAAAATTCTCAAAACGTCATGTGATAGCAATGTGACGCCGGGAGTTTGACACCCGTGACCTGGGTCCGGCCATTCTACATAGCCACTTTTTCAAAGTATTTGTTTTCATACTTTCTGTCATTCCATTCTATTTTGTTCTGTTCTGTTCTATTCTGTTCTATTCTGTTCTATTCTGTTCTATTCTGTTCTATTCTGTTCTATTCTGTTCTATTCTGTTCTATTCTGTTCTATTCTGTTCTAAATTTAAAAATGTTTAAACCACTTCAGATTAAAATCAAACTGAAGAAATCAAAATCGCAGCACCATTAAAGCCAGACAAGGTAGCAAGATAAAAAGTT